TAATCAGACTGCATCTGATCATTAAATCCATGTTGCTGTTGGCTTATCTCACATTAAATAGTCATAGCTAGCATCCTGATCTCTGCAGGGGAAAAAAATCCCAAAGCATTTACGTGAGATTTCTGACACTGCAAAAATAAATACAAGCCTATAAACACTACAACAATTACATACCATTACAGGACTGGGCTTATTTAGGCTGTGGAAGTTTAATTATAAAAATTGCATTTTAATTGATTGCTGCTGGAATAATTACAGCAACACCTTTCCAAGAAATGGCGACCATCATGTTTGTCAACAAAGAAGCTTCCTTTAAATTCAACATTCCATAATTGTTTAATTAAGCCAAATTTATATCCCCATTTGAGAACATTCAAATGTTTGCCTATTCCTTCCTGTCTCCAAGAGGAAATTTAAGAGATAAAAAAACAATCTCCAGAAAGAGTCTGTTTATGTAGGTATCCAAACACAAGAAGAAAAATAAATACGTAATTTCATAGCTGATCTGGATCTAAGGATGCTGCTATTGATAAGAACATAAGCACAGAATGAGTGATCACTACAAATCCCTCTCTAATTAGTGCTAGGAAGCCTTCATAAAATATGAACAAACTCCAACTACTTGCTCATTTTCTAATACGCATAACAGATTCATCTGTTGATATTCTAGCAGCACCCACAATTCGTATTCAGTATGAGGACCCCACAGTAACTGTAGCTGTGCATACATGGAAGGAGAGGGATAAATAATTCATTGTTTTTCAGCCTCTCTATAGGTTTTCTTGCAGCTGCACACACCTGTAGCTGTCCTGTGCAGATCAGGTGTGCAGCTCCTCAAATGTCCCTTCTCAGTAGCACAACACCTACACACTGCAAAAGCTCATGGGTTCTTCAGCAAAGGTCCAGGTCTCAGTCTTAAACAGAGAGGGTTTTAGTCACTGGACACCCCTGCAAAGTGGCCTGAAATTTGCGTGGACAGATTTAGCAAGGTGGTGACTCACCTGCAAGTACAACTTGGCAGGGCAGGTCCTCCAGGTCACTGCCAGGGAAATCCATCACTGAGCAGTCGTCTTTCCTGGGCAGTGAGAGTAAACCCCACTGTCTGCCTGATGCTGCAGGGGCTCACCTGGGGACTTCCAGCTGAAAGTAGAAGTCTCTGCACTATATATTAAATAAAGCTCTGGAGCTTTGTCTGAAACCAGTTGTATTCCCCGAGGAGCTGGGCTGTGCACAGGATGGCGATGTGCATTACATGTGCATGGATGGAGGTTGGGATGAAGAATAAAACTATTCCCAGAGCTAGTTGTCTTAAGTAAGCTACCTTTCACCCTTTTGCTGCCAACAGAATGTGGTGCTCATGTCCTTTGTGAATCTCTGAGGAACAGAAATACGCAGTGCTCTCCTAAGCTCCAGTCCTCCCTCACATGTGGCACAGAGTGTCCATCTTCCCACAGCTCTCGGCTCTGACCTGTTGGCAACATCAGCCCTGCCCCTGAGTGCAGACAGAGACAGCAAAATCCAGCCAGGCAGAGTTTGCTAGTGATTGTGTTGAGGATGTAAAGCTCTTTTCCACACACAGCTGAAAACCGAACCCGTGAACATGTCTTTAAAGGGTTTTGATCTGCTCCATCACTAGGAAACCTTTCAGCTCTGCCACATCATCATCTTACACTTCATAGTCACTGGTACTGCTGTACGCTTCTGCTGAAGGAAGGACTCTAAATTCACCTTCCCTCTAACCAACTTCCTGGGCCTCCAAAGAAGTAGCACAAAAATACAAAATCTCCTGACCTTTAGTTACAAACCCTTAAAGGTGCAGGTGTGTATTTCATGCTGGTAAGCCACTGCACACACCCAGCTGCAAACCCAGAGCCTGCCATTACCTTCCTCTCTGTGGGATGGAACAAATTCAGGAAGATTTTGCAGCTATTGAGAGATGCCCATGTTTCACTGATGCAACAATACTAACATCAACCACACACATGAAATACAAGGTTATTGCACGTTGTACCTACAACCTATTTTTGCTTTCTTAATGGTTATAGTTTGCTTAAAGTCATAAGCCACTGACACATTATGCACAGGGACCACCAGACCCATAGGATGCTGCCCCACACAGAGGAATTCACCATCACTGCTTAATGATAACTCCACAACTGGAAGCATCAGAAAAACAAGTTATTGCTGGCCTGTCACTGTGACAGACAAGGGCAGCCTCCTGATAGGTTACAGATCTATCATTTTCATAGATATTATTGTTTCCAATTTATGATCATCACTAGCACATCATTAACGGCTCCCTATCACGATCACCCGCACACAAATGGGTGCATCTCATACTGTAAATTCACCTACTGTCACACCAAAGTTGCTCACACTAACTGGTAAGCAGATTTATGTCAGGCAGAGGTAGACCGTGTCACAGTTGATGCTGAAATACATTTTACATACAATCTCCTTAGACAAGGTGCTGTCATTTTGCTGCAGTTCATCCTGCCACTTCAGCATCGCCCTGCAAGCTGCCCAACAAGTTTTTTTTTTGCTTCTGCCATCACCACTGATTCTTAATATATATTCTGTATTTTGAATGATGCTGCTTCAAGCACTTGCCATAAGGACTACATTTAGCACACAAGGCCAGATCCTAGCACGAGGGAGGACTTGCCAGAGGGCTGGAACCTACTAGTCTTCCTCAGATGTGCTCTTTGAGAACCTGATAGGACCAGCACCAAGTATACAGGGTTCAAGCACTCTTGATTTAACCATCAGAAGCAGGTAATACCAGTGGCAAGGAAACACTGTGTTCCCTATCTCCATGGGAACAAAACCTGGTAGTTTTAACTGGTAGCATGGTCAGTCTTCTCAGAAGATAAGGACCATTGCGTGGGTATGGTTTTTATTCTCTGTAAACAAACAGATCTTTCTGTTAATATCTAGTCTTGACAATTAGGAAGGGAATTTGCTGGAAGATGAGGAAGGAGAGAATTCTTGGTAAAACTTTCATTCCAGCCCTAGAGGACTAAAATCAGGTCTTCCAACAGCCTGGTTTTTATGGGTTGCCTTTTTTTTCCCCCTGGAGTACATGGAATAACACCTTCTTTTGTGCTTACAAAACAAATGCTGCCTTCCAAAGTCTGGAAGAACTTAGGAAGTTTTTAATTATAAGAAAAGAAAAATGAGGACAGGTGAAGTTGGACTGTGCGGAGTGCTCTGCTGGTCTGATCTAGGACAATGTGCCCTACATAGAGCTCAAATATAACATCCTTTGGGAGGCTGTCTTGCTTCCATTCAGCTTTTGTGAGACCACCCCCTCCCCATGGTACTAATGATGTATTTTCTGAAGCTGAACAAGTATCGTGGTCTTGCTATCAGCCTTCATGCTGTAAACAAAAGCATTAGTGGCAGGCGTAGAGAGGGAGGCAAAACGAGGTACAGATGGGGAATTTATTCTAGTGATATGCTTGCAATTTCTGCTTTCCTCTTGCTATCAGCACTGAAATAGCTCATCCCCAGCCACAGTCAGCAGCTCTACCCTAGGTGGGTGACACTTTCCCTTGATAGATACAAGGTCTCTCTTTTTTCTTCTATTTGTCTACTTTTCCTGCCAAGGCAGTGCCATTGCATTGAGCTGAAAGAGTTGCTCTTCCTTGATGGAAACCTTGTAGTTGGCAAATAGAGGGATATTAAGGGAAACAGAAAATCTTTAGATGTGTCATTAGACACTCCAATGAAGATGTGGCCAAATCAGTACTTCTCCCTCCTGTGTCATACTGGCCAGGAAATTCCTGCAATCTTATATTTGTAAACCCTTGAACAGGAAAAAAAAAAAAACAAACCACAAGTTTTTTCTTTGAGGAGCCTTATTAATTCTCCTCCTGTACATTCCTAGTTCTTTTTGCAGGGAAGCATTTTTCCTTCTGTGTATTTGTTAGCAGAGAGAACAGTTTGTGTTCATCTCTACCCCACTGTCCACATGACTAAACTGCAGAGAGGATGTTTCGGTGAATCAAAAGGATACTACGGAAGTGCAGCAACGACAATCCAACAGGCCCTACAAAGGGAAAGGTTCCTCCAGTCCCTCCTGACAGTGCTCATACACACACACAGGCTCAAAGAGTGAAAGCAGTGTCTGACACCAGGCTGAACCAAGAAATCCTTTGTGCATTGCAGTGCCGGGAGCCCCTTGTGCACAGCACCGCGCTGTGCGCTCCACAGCAAGCGGGTACTGCAACAGTCCCTACCCCAACCTCAGGGCTGTGTGATGGGGCTTCTTTTCCTCTGGTTCCCTCCTGGTCTTACATGTTGCTGCTAATTTTGGCATTGCCTGCCAAGCCATTTTTTTTTTCTTTTCCCAACTGTGTCACACAAAAAGCAGCACAGCTCACACACAGTGCAGATACACCCTAGGATTTACTCTGCAGCACCAATTCCATCTTTGGTACTTGCTTTTAGAGCCAATGGTTTCACTGGTTCTTGAAACCAGAACTCTCTTACTTCTCTGTCATTATTAGGCATGCCCCTTATTGTGGATCTGGACTCCACTTGCATTAAGCTGCTGTTTTCTGCTAGGTCTTTCTTAAATTACAAGGACAGATGGCTAAACTGGAGCTGGAGAAGAAGTTGCTCACAGTAAACAGACTCCTGTGCACCCTGTGGGTGGAATGGGGCGCCTTTGTTGTACATCAGGGCTACAGGAAATACGGGAATGACACCTCAACATAATGAGTCAAGCTAGAGAAACAAAAGAAAATTCATTGTTGGGAGTTTGATGCCACTTTAGAAGCAATGAAAGAGAAAATGCAAGACATACTGAATAACTGTAACTCTACCTCACCTCTGTGTCTTGGCACAAACCAACATGATTCAGAAATCCTTTGCCTGTGTGTTCAGGGGAGTTGCACCTTTGGATCAAGATGTCTCATATTTCAGACACAAAAAACCGCCAGTCAGGGATAAAGACATCAAAGTAAGAGAGAGAACCACCAAACACCACTACTTACAGGTGTATGTCATCTCAAAGCTGTCGCTAATGTTCACAATGTCGATCTGGGGAAGGAGCTTGGGGGGTTCCGTGAGCTGAGACAAGGCAAACCTAAAAGCCGCATGTTCCTGGGACTGCTGATTAGGAAATAACCCCCCTGGGGAGATAAACAGAACAAGAAGAAAGATCTTAAGCACACCCATATTAGCAATCTCTTAATTCCAAAATATTCCTGGGAACAGAGACAACAGCTCCCCAGTCCAGGCAGTGCCTTGACTCTCCAAAACCCTCCAGCCCACAAGACCCGTGGGGTTTTGTGCCCACTGCAGACAGGCTGGGAGCAGAAAACCATTCCAGCCTGTTCATTACGCAATGCCTGGATCATATATGGGAGCCCTGATGCATCCCTGGGCCTGGCAGCCTGTGGGGTCGGGATGAACCACGGGGTTTGGCTCAACCTCTTCACCTTCCTGTAACTTTAATTAAGAGAAATAGAAGCACTGCCAATGTTATCTTTCTAAATAAAGGAGGAATGAGAGTTTTTCTTACTCCTTCTCTCACTTGCAATTAGGCTCAATTTAAACCCTGCTAAGAGAAGTGATTTTCTACAGAAGTGGTATGGGGGGTCCCCCACACTATGGGACTCCAGGGCAGACTGACTGAACCTGGTGCAGCACTGGGTGGTTGGGTACAGGGCTGGGAGAGCCGGAGTAACATGGGACCCACAGAGCCAAAGACTTCATGCTACTGGACGTTTGCTGCATGGCTAAACCTTAAATTTAACAGGTGACAGTGGCCAGACTCAAAGAGGGCAGAAAATAAAAAAAACCCTCGACCTTCAAAGAAATCGATCTGAAATACAGGCATATGCAGAATTACAGATCGACAGACATAGAAGAGGAACTGGGACCAGACTGGCCCCAGGTTCAGAGCATCCCCTTCCCTCCATCATAGACTTGAAATAAAGTGCTGCGGTAACCCGGCCCTAGGAAAAGTTTCCTGCCGCTTCCTCCAGCAGGAAACTTGGCTTGTGACAGGCCCCTTAACCACCACCAGAACGATGCTATTAAATTCAGACTGTCTTGTAATCTATATGCATTTAAAGGGAGCACTGTTGTTGGCATTTTACGAGAGGGGAAGCGAAGCACTGAGCCACAAAGTAGAATTAAAATAAAGAAGCAGAAAGTACCGATATCCACCCCTCCAGGGCAGGTGGCTTGGGGGAAAAAAAAATGCGGAAGGATCTGCAATCAACGGCACTTTGTACATCTTTAGTCTAGAGGGCATCTCCTTGTTTTGTGCAAAAAGGGCTATTTGTACGTTAATATCCCCCCCTCCTCCCCGGTAGCCCCTCCCTCAGCCTAATCATAGGTGTTAGGAATTAAGATCGTAATAGCCGAGCTAAGCTGTTTCATGTGTTTGTTAAAAGGGAAAAATTCTGGGATGTTGCACAAATTGGGGGTAAAGGGGAGACAGGAAGGGGGAAAGACAGGGATGCAGCATCAACAGCAATAAAAGCACTGATTGTGCAGCTGGACTCGGGCAGGAGTTCCCTGAACTTGGTGGATTAGCAGTTGATTAGCATCGTAAAGGGAAGGGAGGTGGGAAAGAAAAGAGGCATGCAAGGGAAGAGAATTTGGGACCTGGTTACAAATCATCAAAGATCAACGGGAGAGAGTAATAATAAACCTGGGGAAGGAGGGAGAGGAGGAGGGAGAGGAGCACTGAGAAGTTAGAGGAGGGGAGAAAGGAATCAAACAGGCACTGCTGATGCGCAGGGGAAGCAAGTAGCATGAAACGAGAAGAGACTTCAATGGAAAATCTTCCTCCAATCGCTCTGCCCTTATTCTTTAGCAACAACAACAGAGCGCGCCTGTTTGTTACCTCTCGTCCCAGTTACCTACGGATGAGAGCATCCTCACAAAATGTATAATGCAACCGCTGATTTTGCAAATGTAGCAACGCACCAAGACAGCCCATGCATTTCTCGGAGCAAGAAATTGATTTTTTTCGTGCTTCCTCCATTTCAGAGTCATTTTTCTCCCTTTGTCTTGGTGTATGTGTGCAGGCATTTATTCCAAACCCTCCCCTCCCCCAAAACCAAATGGATACATCTCTGCTTTTGCAAAGCCGGTACCAACATACAAATCCAGCCCTCGCGGTTCATCCCCTCGCTCTCACACACATACACACGCACAAGCACACTTTGCCTTTACAAGCAAAGGAACGGGTCCGTTTGCCCCCAGCACCCGCTTCTCCATCCCTACCCACTCGCCCGGGAACGTCAATCCCAAACGGCCCCGAGCTCCGCACTCACCTATCTGGATGTTGTTGGGGAAATTGGCCCCTAACACCGCCCCTAGGAAACCGGTGCAGAAGAAGGCAAAAATGTGCTGCATATTCCCTTTTGCATTGGCGAAAAAGAAGTCCAGTTCCAAGCATAGATTTGATTTTTCCCCGCTCTGCTCTCTTTAGCTGCCTCTCTCGCCTCCCCTCCGCTGAGCTTTCAGGGTTGAGCGTCTCCCTCGCTCGGAATCCAGCGCTGAGACTGCTGCTGAACACCGCCTGGCAGCAGGATTAACTGATCCCCGGGAGAAGAAAGAGAGCCCGCTCCTCATCCACATCCCTCCCCCGCCACACACAACGCGCACACGCACACACCAGGCGCTTCCACCCAGCTCATTCTCCTGCTCCCAGTTGGAGAGCAACAGCTGGGTACCGCATCCCCCCCTTCGCCCTGGTTATTCCCACAGGGGTCCAGGCTGGGGTCTCTAAGGGCAATTCCCACCTACCCGCGGGCTTTCCCCCTCAACTTCTCTTGGCAGAAGCTAGAAAGAACCTGCAAATCAGTAGGTGGCAAACTCCTCTAGAGAAAAGGCTTAACCTCCTCTGCATCTGATCCATCGCTTCCCAGTCTGGGCTCTCACCCCTGAGCCCAGGAGTTGAACAGATCAGTCTCTACAGCCTGGCTCATTAGAATAATAATAATAAATAAAAAAGGGCAGTACCCTGCAAACATGCCCTGGATGGAAGGATTTCAGAGTAACAGACGAGATCCCAACAGATGAAGAAAAGAACCCTCCAGCATCAGCTTTCTCATTTATTTTTCCTGCCCACCATTAGAGGCATTTTACCCCTGTACTTGATGTGGAGGAATCTGTGCTCACCAGCACCATAAGATAGGGCAGGTTTCTGAAATTAGGTGATTGCTTTAGCCTTGGATCATTGCAGGAGCTGTTGGTTTGTGGCAGTTCTAATGAGGTTGGAGCCTATTTAGCCACAAGCAGCTTTACTCAAAAACAAGGAGGGGAAATAAATCAATAAAAGTACTAACAATTAAAAAAGCAGTTCCCAGGCACAACCTGGGATTTAGAAATATTTGAGGAAGAAGTGCTGTGAACACAAAGTTATAGCCATCACAGAAAGGAGAGAAAGTTCACTCATTCCCATCTGAAACACATGAAGTTTCAAACCAAATTTGGGGCATCTTGTGTCAGAATCTGAATGCCCGTGTCCAAGCTCAGATACTCTGTCCTGTTGGCAGCCTGAGTAAGCACATGGGTTAAACAGCAGAGAGGAAACAGAGTGGGGTGGGGGGTGGAGGAGAAGGATGTTTGTGGCAGAGTCAGAAAAAGGACTGAGATGCCCCATGTCCTGGTTTGGCATAGGGTACTTTGCCCTGGTTCCCTATTCCCTATCTCCAAAACCATGTGGTTAAATTGAAAGAGCATTGCTAAGTGGTGACTGATGATCAAAAGTTGAAAATTGCTTCTGCATAAAGAGCAGTTGGACAGATGAGAACTCTGCAGAGTGGAACAATCAAAATGGGATGTGACAAAAGCCTACAAAATCTGCAATACCATGAAAACATTCCCTGTTGGCCATGGGGCCCAGGTGTGACATAACTTGATGGTGCAGGGAAGCACTGCTCTTTCTGTCCTCAAGCCTTTCTCAACAGAATAGTCTTGAAAATAGAAGTAGTAGCAATCTTTTTGTTGGCAAGTCCCCTCTTTCTTCTGAAAGATTTACTACAGGTTTGGTTCCTATGCC